TTGTATTGCTAAGTCGCCACTTCTCATCTTCCAGCTCCACAGCTATACTCCGCGGACTAAAGTTGTACTACGCAGTCGCCAGTTCTCAGCTTCCATCTCCACAGATTCCTCCGCGTACCAAAGTTGTACTACAAAGTCACCAGTTCTGAGCTTCCAGCTCCCCAGCTACTCCGCGTACTACAGTTGTACTACAAAGTCACTAGTGCTCATCTCCCAGCTCCCCAGATACTCCACACCTCTCGCCTGCATTTCGCCACTCGACGCGCACGGTCTCCGCAGAGGGTTGCGCAGGCATCCGCCAAATCGCACTCTCGCCTGTATTTCGCGCACTCGACATGCACGATCTCCGCAGAGGGTTGCGCGGACACCCGGCGAATCGCACTCTCGCCTGCATTTCGCGCACTCGACACGCACGATCTCCGCAGAGGGTTGCACGGGCAGCCGGCAAATCGCACTCTCGCCTGCATTTCGCGCACTCGACACGCGCGATCTCCGCAGAGGGTTGCGCGCACAGCCGGCAAATTGCACTCTCGCCTGCATTTCGCGCACTCGACACGCCCGATCTCCGCAGAGGGTTGCGCGCACACCCGGCAAATCGCACTCTCGCCTGCATTTCGCGCACTCGACACGCACGATCTCCGCAGAGGGTTGCGCGCGCAGCCGGCGAATCGCACTCTCGCCTGCATTTCGCGCACTCGACACGCACGATCTCCGCAGAGGGTTGCGCGCACACCGGACAAATCGCACTCTCGCCTGCATTTCGCGCACTCGACACTGTAAAGAATGTCTCCAACGTCACGGGGCGATGATGCAGCCTTGGCAATGCATGGCCTGCTACATGTGGAAGCAAGAAGATGCATTTGTCGCCAAGTACCGGCGCCCGCAGTGCACGTTTTACCGCGTGTGCGAGACGTGCGAAGAGACGAAGGTGTGCGCACAGTGCGGCCGGCGCAAAGCGAAGGCCGGGTTTGCGCCGACGGCATGGCTGCGCACGCGAGGTGGATCCCGAGTATGCTTGGCAGGCCTGCGGGAAGGGTTTGAAGGCGCGCGGGAAGGCTGCGGTTGCGATGCAGGAGTAGGCCAAAGGCGCTGGGGCTGCAGTGCACGGGCTGCACGTTCCAGAGGCTCTC